CAGGCATGCACTGCCACACCCAGCTAATTTTTTTTGATTTATTGTAGAGATGAGGTCTCGCCAAGTTGCCCAGGCAGATCTCGAACCCGCGGGCTCAGGCAATCCACTCACCTCAGCCTCCCAAAGGCGCGGGATTACAGGCTGAGCCACCGAGCCCGGCTGACCAACTTTATTGAGATATAATTTATAATAAGATGCACACATTTTAAGAGTACAGTTCAGTGAGTTTTGGCAAACTTGTTTCCTAGGGGTGGAGGAAAGGAGGCTCCATGAGATTGCTGAGGCATACGTATAGTACCAAACTTATCCAGAATGGTAAAAACAATTTATACTCCCACCATCAGTGGATGAGGGTTGCAGGTGTTCCTCAATCTCACCTGCATTTGGTGTTACTGTCCTTTTAGTTATAGCCATTCTGGTGGGGGTGCAGTGGTAGCCCATTGTGCTGTCAATTTGCAGTTGTCCTTTGTCTGTGTCACCCCCGCTCCTCTGGACCACACTGGTAATGGGCACTCATCATGCAGCATTATATTCACATACCCCTACACTGGAGGAAGTGTCCCCAGGGTCTCTCTGACTGGCTGAAAGACCCCTAACCCCTACCCTGCCTTCCCCATCCTTTTTCCCTGCAGGTGGTTTTTCCCCATCATTGGCCACATGGGCATCTGCACATCCACAGGAGTCATTCGGGACTTTGCTGGCCCCTACTTTGTCTCGGTGAGTTCCCATTCTGCCCCACTCTGGTGGGTTTCAAGGTTTAAGTGGAAGACTGACCTGTCTTGCCTACAGGCAGCCTTCCTGTCTCCCCCGGAAAATGCAGATAACAACGTAGTCCTGGCCCTTGCCCCCTGCCCCTCATCAGTGCTTGACCCCTTTCCCCGCTTCTCTCACCTCCAGGACAGGCCAGGAGGGCAGTGTGGCCAGAAGGATTCTTAAATAATTGACCCAGCCCCTTGCCCCCACCCCTGGGATACCAAGACATGGGTAGGGGTTAGAGGCAAGAGTGGAGAGTCAGACCATCCAGGATCCACTTCTCTGGACCTTCAGAAGGTGGGAGTCAAGGTGGGGGGACAGGGGAGGCTGACATGGTTCCCTGGGTATGGCCATGCAGAAGAGGGAGTGGGGCTTTAGAATGAATCAGCTGTGTTCCCTGGGGATGTGACCAAGACTGGTCCAGTGGGCTAGCTCCAAATGAGCATACATCATCCTGCCTATTTCCAGGTGGCAGAGGCTGGAATGAAGGGGTGTGCTGGCACCAACCTGCATATATTAATAGTTGTCATGATCATCTTAACACAACAAAGGTCTGTCACTTTGCACTTAAAAATACTTTCACATCCATTACTTTCACTGTCATGTATTTTTATGATGATTCATCCTTGACCAGCTCTGCCAGCAGGGTCTCCCTGATTCTGAACCCAGAGTCTGTCTTTGCATAACTCCTATACTCCAGGTCTTATGTGGTGAGTCTAGGACTTTGCTGCAGTGTCTCCCTCCCAGGAAGCCTCTCTGAGCCTACCACCCCTGCCCTGCTCTGAATGTAGTCAGGCCGCCAGACGCAGAGATGGGCTCTGTGTGGGCCTCTAAAGTTGGGTCAGGAGGCCAGACCACAAAGGAAACCACCTGCCCATCATCAAAGATCAGAGAACTTGGAGAGAATGAAACCTGACCCAGAGAGGATAAGAAAAGTCCCTGGGTACCACAGAGGGGCAGTGGCAGCTGGAGCCCCAGGTCTTTGGTCTCCCAATGTAGTACTCTATGCACTTCTGCCTTCTTCCCACGGAAAAACCACTGCTGGCACTTCAGATACCATGCCAGCCCCAGGGCAGGGCCCAGGCCCCACTTTTGCCCACCCCTAATATAGCCCCTTTTAAGTCACTGCACTTTAGCTTCTGAGCCAGGTGTGTGTTATCCAACCTAGATGTAGGTTCCCCACTGACCTCTGCTCTTGTCCTTCAACAGGAAGACAACATGGCCTTTGGAAAACCTGTCAAGTAAGTGATGAACACCCGTGTAACTGGCCCTAGGGCTAGGTTTCTTCTGCTCAGGCAGGTCTGGCCTTCTGGGGCACGGCAGGAACCAGCACCCTGAGGATGGAATGTGAACAGGAAGGACAGCCAGGGTCCACCAGATTATAGCAGCCCTGTACTAAGCACCTGCTATGCCAGTTCCTGGCTAGGGTCTTTATCAGTGGACCATGCAGGCCTTGCCTGAGCTCTGCAAGGTCATGTTTTCACTTCATGGCAAGCGTGAGGAAAGGGAAGGGATTTGGTCAAGGTCACACAGTAAGGAATGAGTCTCCAGAGCTGAGACTTGCTCCCAGGTTTGTCTTCTTCTGTAACATAGACTCAACTCTCCTGCCTTTCAGGTACAAACAGGTCATTTAAGGTATAGGGGATACATTGTTTGGAACTCTACTACAAAGTTCTTGTTGGAAAGAATAAAAGCAGTTTATAAAGGCACTAATCCAGCCGGGCTCAGTGGCTCAGCCTGTAATCTCGCACCTTGGGAGGCTGAGGTGAGTGGATTGCTTGAGCCCGCCAGTTTGAGACCCGCCTGGGCAACTTAGTGAGACCTTATCTCTACGATAAATAAAAAATTAGCCAGGCGTGGTAGCACGCACCTGTAATTCTGGCTACTCAGAAGGCTGAGGCAGAAGGATCACCAGAGCCCAGCAGGTTGAGGCTGCGGTGGCCGGGAGCAGCCACTGCCCTCCAGCCTGGGCGACTGAGTAAGACTCCAACTCAAAAATAAATAAAAATAAAATAAATAAATGAAGGCCCAAATCCCAGCTCCCCTGGGAGCTGTTGCTAGTTCAATTTGGGACTTTTGGTCTTCATTTTTTTCAGTCTCAGATGCTCACCTCAGCTATAGACCTGGTGACAATGCCTCAGTTATCAGTATTCTCAGAACAACATCAGGTGACCTGCTGCCCAAGCTGCACCAGGAGAGGCAGGGGCCAAGGAGGAGCTGGCATCTCACATGGCAGAGGTGACCTGGAGCAGGGCTTCCTGACCCCTACACTGGCTTTCTCAGGCAGGTGGCAGTGCAGTCCAAAGGTCTCTGGGCCAGGTGTCTGCTGCTGGGCTGCTTTTCAGGGACAGTTTATTTTATTTTATTTTTTTGTTTTTTTGAGTTGGAGTTTCACTCTGTTGCTCAGACTGGAGTGCAGTGGCATGCTCCCAGCCATCGCAGCCTCGACCTGCTGGGCTCCGGCG